AGAGACAAGATTCGAAGAGAATTGGTTTCATATGAAAGACATGTAATTTTGGTTATGTAGTTCAAATACTTGAAAGTATAAAGTCAGTGTGTGCAATCACCTTTATCTATCTTATATGTCTAGCATGACATAAAAATTTGATATGCATCTAAAGCCCATTCATATGGTTTATATGACTTAACTTATATGACAATCCCTGAAGGATTTAAATTGCTTAAAGCATATAGAATTCTTGGTCATGAAGTACTACATCAGTGCAATTTGTGCACATTTGTATCTTGCTATAACTATAAGCATGATAATTTGATAGCGAGAATTTTCAAGGTGCAACATATTCATCAACTTAATATGGCTGATTTATTTATCAAATCTCTACCAATGATCTTTTGAAGATGGTGCACAAGATTGGAATGCAAAGGCTCAAATATCTGAATTGATGTTCTCATCAGGGGGAGTTAATATGTGTTGCACTCTTTTTTTACAAGGTTTTGTCCCACTGGATTTTCCTTATAAGGTTTTTAACGAGGCAACCAAAAGGCGTATTTCTAAATATGTGTGCTCTTTTTCCTTCTCTGAAATTTTTTCCCACTGAGTTTTATTTTAGTTAAGGTTTTAACGAGTCACATTACCTATTGAATAGACATTCAAGGCGAAGTATTACAAATAGAATTGTATTTAATTTGAATATATTTTAGAGAAATTTTAAGGTTTGTTACTTTATGGCTAAGTCGCTTTTTTTCCTATAAATAGAGGGGTTCTATTCCATTATAATTGATCTCAAATCAATAACAATTCTCCCCTTCTACTTTTCTCTGCAATATTCTTCTTCTTCTTTTATTGTTTTATAACACTTATAAGCTAGTTTGACCAGATTATAAGCTCGGCGAAATACCCTCTTTGTTATGGCATCGTACATTTAGATCAAACATTGTTATACAGTTGTTAGAATTTGGAGGAAAAGATCAAAATAGTCCACTATCATTGAATTTAGACTCAAGGTTGTTGGAACTTGAGTTTTGATGATCAGCAAAGATGTACTTTAGATCTACTTCATGTACAACGCAGAGTCCTAGCAAAAATGGAATTCACTTTCACGCCCGACAAGGATATATTTATACTATGCTGACCTAGAAACCACGTGATAATGTTAGGAAATCTTGGCAGATCTTTATGGCTTGAGCTTAGGCCAAGATTTAAGGAGTACTTATAAAAGTAAATTTTACTTCTTTAGAAGATCGAAGGAAAATCTTTTTACTTATTTTATTTTCTAAGGTTAGGAGATTCGGTGCAGCTTGGTTAACACTGTTCTATTCATAGCCATCTACTATATATTCATATATATAGTACGAGTTTATTTTTGCACAAGTTGTGCACCTACATACAAATCTGAGAGATCCATCTTGTGAACAACAACTTTGCAAAGTTCCAAGGGCAAGAAAAATTAAAGAACCCAGTTTCAGAGATTGATTCAAGTTTAGCTCGTTTTGTCTTGATCTTGTAACATGTATATTTTGACTTGTAATCTTTCTTTGCTTGTATTAGAAGCTACTTGTAAGAACTCTTGAGTGACAATCTTTTATTCTTGACTAAAAATTAGTTTGGAATGAGTAGGTACGATCAGTTTGATTGTAGGCTGTTGAGTGATTAGATTTAGTCTTTTAGGTTATAAAAGAATTTTGTAACGTGAAACTGCTTGTTATTTTCTGTGAAGTTTGCGAGGAAAATCTTAAAGTTGAGTCGTAGTTTCTACTCCCTTGAACAAGGAGATTTTCCACGTAAAATTCTTATCTTCTATACTTTATGCATTTATTACATAAATTGCAAGAACCAGTTTAAGAACCAGGTTATGAGGAAAACATAATATTCTGGTAGAAAATTTTAATTGGTTCATATACTATTCTTCTCCTCTAATGTATAAATGGTGCATAATTCTAACAATTAGTATCAGAGTGTGCTCTAGATTATGAAGCTTATACCTCTGAGAGATTCACAAGATGAATGCACCACCAGGGATGAATGAGGGTCAGTCCACCATACAAAGTACTACAGCTGGTGGAAAGTGATGATGGAGAACTTCTTAACTACTAAAGATTACGAGTTATGGAATACTATTCTGGACGGATCAAATATTCCTATCAAGCTTGATGTGGGACGAAGAGGAGTTCCTAAGGAAAGAATTGAGTTTAATGATATTGATCACAAACTCATGGAGAAAAATAGCAAAGCCAAAAAGATACTTATTTGTGGCCTGGCGAGTTTTGGCATGCACTGAAGCAAAAGAAATTTTGGACACCTTGCAAACTACACATGAAAGAACATCTCAAGTGAAGCAATCCAGATGTGATATGCTCTTGAGAAACTATGAATTGTTCACCACGAAAGACTTTGAACCAATCCAAGATATAATCACTAATTTCACAGTCACAACAAATGAATTGAGATCACTTGAGAAGACTTTTACATATGAGGGCTAGTGAGAAAAGTTCTCATAATACTTCCTGCCTCATGGGAAAGCAAGGTCACTGCAGTTCAATATACCTAGGGCTCAACTTGCCATTCTTCCCGAACCTCATCACACCCTTCATGGGCAAAACCCACAGCAAAACCCTCTCTCCTAACATGAATGCTAAATCACGAGCCCTTCGATCAGCATGACTCTTCTGCCTAAACTGGGTTGTACGAAGCCGATCCTAAATCAACTTGACTTTCTCCAAGTCATTCTGGACCAAATCAGTACCCAGCATCCTAGCCTCTTCCGGCTCAAATCAACCAACTGGAGAATGACACTGCCTCCCATATAAGGCTTCATAAGGAGCCATCTAAATACTCGATTGGTAGCTGTTGTTGTAAGAAAACTATGCAAGAGGTAATAACTGGTCCCGTGAACCCCCGGAATCCATAACACAAGATGTAGCATATTCTTCAAGATCTGAATAGTGCGCTTGGACTGCCCATCCATCTAGGGGTGAAATATTGTACCAAACTTAACCAGTGTGCCTAACTCACGCTACACGACTCTCTAGAAATGTGATGTGAACTGCATGCCTCGGTTAGAGATAATTGACACCAGCATACCGCGGAGGCGAATGATCTCACGGATATAGATCTGGGCTAAGTACTCTGAAGAATAGGTAGCCGCCACTGGAATGAAATACACCAACTTGGTCAACCTATCCACAATGATCCACATTGCGTCAATTTTTTTCAAAGTCCATGGGAGCCCAAGAATGAAATACATGGTAATACGCTCCCACTTTCACTCAGGAATCTCAAGTCTCTGAAGCAAACCGCCCGACCTCTGATTCTCGTACTTCACCTGCTGGCAGTTCAAACACCGAGCCACATACTCTACTATAACTTTCTTCATTCTTATCCACCAATAATGCTGTCTCAAATCCTGATACATCTTGGTGGTACCCGAATGAATGGAATACCACAAACTGTGGGACTCCTCAAGAATCAACTCACGCAGCCTATTTATATTGGGCACACAAATCCGACCCTGCATCTGCAACACCCTATCATCTCCAATAGAAACCTTACTGGTATCGCTGTGCTGCACTGTGTCCTTAAGAACAAGCAAATAGGGGTCATCATAGTGACACTCTCTGATGTGCTCATACAAAGAAGACCTAAAAATCACGCAAGCAATAACCCGTATGGGCACCGCAATATCTAACCTCATGAGCTGATTGGCCAAGTCCTTAACATCCAAAGCTAGCGGTCTCTCGACAACTGGAATATATGCAAGGCTACCCATACTCTCAGCCTTTTGCTCATGGCATCGGCCACCACATTGGCTTTCCCGGGATGGTACAAAATGGTAATATCATAGTCTTTTAACAACTTTAACCATCTCCGCTGCCTCAAGTTTATATCCTTTTGCTTAAACAAGTGTTGTAAACTCCGATGATATGTGAATACCTCACATGACACCCCGTAGAGGTAATGCCTCCAAATCTTCAATGCATGAATAATTGCTGCCAGTTCCAAGTCGTGCACCGGGTAATTTTTCTCATGAACCTTCAACTACCGAGATGCGTAGGCAATCACCCTACCATCTTGCATCAACATTGTGCCAAGCCCAATATACAACACATCACAATACACAGTGTAGGTGTAACGACCCGACCAGTTGTTTCATGAGTTACTGCTCCATTTTTCCTATTTCTGCTTCTTTATGTATTTTTCGGCTGTATTATTTGGTATCGGGTTAGTTGGTTTGGGTTCGTAGTGGTTTTGTAAAGAAATAAAATACTTAGTCTCTTAAGTTGGCCTTTTAGTTGGAAAAGTCAACCTGAAGTTGACTTGTGAGTAAACGATCTCAGAACTTGGTTTTTATAGTTCGGATAGCTTTTTGAGGTAATTTGGGACTTAGGAGCATGATTGGATGTATTTTGGAGATCTGTGATAGATTTAGGCTTGAATTGGCGAAAATGGAATTTTGGCATTTTTCGGTTGGTAGCGAACATTTGACATAGGGGTCGGAATGGAATTCCGGAAATTGAAGTAGGTCCATTGTGTCATTTGGTACGTGTGTGCAAAATTTCAGGTCATTCAGACGAGGTTTGATGGACCTTTTGACCGAAAGCAGAATTTGGAAGTTTTGGAATTTTTAGGCTTGAATCCGATGATGATTTAATGTTTTAACGTTGTTTTGAGCATTCCTATAATAACCCGAAAAATATATTATAACATATTCATTAGTTATGAAATTAGAGAATTATATAGTTTGTAGTTATTGGATTAAATACTAAGTTAGTGGAAGAAGATGCCCATGAAAAAGATTTTTTTAGAGGAAGATAAAAAAAATGCGAATTTCCCTGTTATTGGATTAAATACTAAGTTAGTGGAAGAGAATTTACCCTGATTTATAAGATAGTATACTAGTTTTTTTCTAGTGAGCCAATTTACATTATATATGATAGTTAAATAGTCATGGGCCTTAGATAATAAAAGTAACTAACTGGGTCAACCCATCTCAATTGCCGCCAACGATCTAGAGGGCATTAGGGCATTAAAATATTCTTGTTTTGGCTATTATGTAGAGGCAACAAAATATATAGGGCTAACGACATTAGGGATTTTCCTAACTATTTGGTGGCGAGAACTTGAAAGCTAAGGAGAGCGAAATATTCTTGCAACTCAACAGTAATGGCAAGGTATCAATTCTAATCCCTATAGCTATATTTCTTGTATTAATTTAAGAGAGATATTCTTATTAGTTCTTTGTATAATGGTGACAAGAATTAAGTGTGAGAGTAAAGGGATTATGTCAGACATGATTATACTGGTCACACCTCGAGAATAAAAATAAATTATAACAATAAACTTGCTCTTTAATAATAGACAAAACTTTTCGAGAGTTACATTTTTAAAGTTAATTTTTTTTTGGAACTTTGCATAGGAAATACGTATCAGATATTTGCTACAATGTTTGATTAGTTATACTTATGTAAATAAGATTTGAACTTCACATTTCAAAATATGTCCACGTATATTTGCAAAAAGAACACTCTGTCATATTATGTTTAGAGATAATTTTATGTTGAACTAGTGTTTGAATGTGTATAACTGAAGGATTAGTCAACTGGTTAGCAGGTCATATATTGAGTACCGAATTGTACTTTAATATCATGATTTTTTTAATATATTCATGAGTTAAAAGTGTAGAATATTAAGATGTAATTGTAAGCCTGACATTAAGGAAAGAATAGAATTCGACCTGACTAGTATAATTGAAATTATTCATTTATATTTTACATAGATTGAAGTCATTGAGGCCCGTTTGACTGGTATTCTAGACGTTGCAAGATTTGCGGAACTTCCTGTTAGCGAGGTAAGTGAGACTTTAAGCTTTGAATCTTGCTTTTCTAAAACCCATTTTAAAAATATGTTTTCTCTGCCCGGTCTATGTATTGGGACAAGTGTGCGCTTGGCAGAATTGGTGGTCTTAGACTAGCCGCAAATATATTATTTTATAGAAAAAACAAATATTATTTTATAAGTTGTTTGATAGTGTGATACGACTGTGCGCCATAGGTTGAGTTTTATAGTTTGATATGGATGTGTACCATGATATTGAGTTTGATACGGCTGTGCGCAATGATATTGAGTTTGATACGGATGTGCGCCATGATGTTGAGTTTGATACGGCTGTGCGCCATGATGTTGAGTTTGATACGGCTGTGCGCCATGATGTTGAGTTTGATACAGCTGTGCGCCATGATGTTGCGTTTGATACGGCTGTGCGCTATGATGTCGGGTTTGATACGGCTGTGCGCCATGATGTTGGGGCATTGTGTATGCCTTTGTACATCACCCGAACATTGTGTATGCTCTGTTACATATTTGAGACATTGTGGTATCGTTGTGGACTCGTAATGTGTTGGTATATTTCTTTCACTGCAATTATGATAAGTCCTTAGTGGGTATCCTTATTGGTTAATTCTTAATAACTCTGTTGATACACATATATTGAGTTATTATATAATTATCGTAGTTACTATATCATTCGTGTTGTGGTATGTTTGTATTTTCCAACACTTGTTCCAGAGGTATTTAAAGTGGCGGGTCGAGGATCTTACTGGGTTATTATTTACATATAACTCACTCCTTATCTGCATGTCTATGCAGATACCATTGGTGAAGACGGAGCTAATAGCTGACGAGTTTGCTGGAGTTGATTCAGTTATTGAGGTGAGCCGTCGCATTGTTCGTGGAGGTTGCCAAAAGAGTCTTTATCATTTTTCCATATGATGTCTTATGTAATTCTCTTAGATGCTCCATGGTCTAGTGTAGAATTTTTGCTAGAGTTTTAATTTAATAATTTGAGATACCAATTGTTCATAATTAATTATCAAATTATTTGGATACTCATAATTAACTAAATATTGCAAATTAATGGTTAAGGTATGAAAGTATGGTTCGCCTAGCAGGTGGTGTTAGCTGGGTGCTAGTCACGTCTAGTGAGTAATTTGGGACGTGATCAAGTTGGTATACGAGCTTAGGCTTTTTATCCCGTGTCATGGAGCAGTGTTTGGTAGAGTCTTGTTCATGAGTATGTCGACGTCCATACTTATGACCTTGAGGCTGCTAAACATCTAGGATGTTTTCCCTTCTTTCAGTTCTTATTCGTGCGTTAAGTTAAATCGAGTTTAAACTTGGAATGTCCCTTTCGCAGATGGATAGGACACGCGTATCCTCCGCTGCTGTATGAGATAATTGACTTGGAAGTTTTAAATAATATATGTTCAGGTTAGAGTGGCCTTGATTACATGTAATGTATTATGCATTGGTTCTAGTTCTGATTAGACAGTTCATAAAAATTTGGGTGGACGGTTAAGTAACCTAAGCATATGTTTATTTCCTATGAGCAACTTGTCAGGATTTGAGTTTGTGGTTATAAATTTTCATTATGAGCCTAATAAGGAGAGGAAAAGAGTTGAGCAAAAAAAAGAAAAAGAAAAAGAAAGAAGAAGTAATAAGTAATATAGCTTAGCCATGTCTAGGCTATTGGGTGTGGTGGTTAAAGACAAATTTAAGGAAAGCGCTTTGAAGCGATTTACTATTATTAGTGAATAACGCAATAATGATGTTATAAATGTGAATGCGGCGTTGAGCGTGAGCGTATTAATAGGATTTCATGAGCTATAACAAGTATATATATAGTAGGAGTTTGTGATTAAGTTTGGATTATTGAGTGAGAGAAAGAAAACCTTAGGCATGAGATCTAATACACCAAGATAGTAAGTTATTGAGTATGAGACTCAGTAAATCTTGGCATACTTCGTCAATTAAAATTCGAGTAAGACGCATGGGATTGTAGGGCCTCACACTATTTGCTTGATTTGTTATGCATTGTGGAATAGATGTGCGGGATATTAGGGACCCAGGGTCCATGAGTTTCCACGACGTAATAGATGTTATAAAGGGGTAAGACATAGAGTACTAAGATTGTCAACGAGTTTGAGTACTTGAAATGAAGTAGCACGAATATTACTAAACATATTGTTCAGTTTAAACAATTGTCTTGATAAGCGTTGTACTTTGTACCACTTGGACTTTGAAAAAAAAAGTATTTGTTGATGAGATGATACCATGGTTAAGAAAGAATAAGGATTTTTGAGTTAGTTTCATAAGAAATTTTTTTCCCTTGTTTCAGGGAGTTCATACTCATATATGTGCAATTCCCATGCTCAATTTGGCAACATATACGAGGTTGTATGGAATAAAAAAAAGGTAATTATAAAATAATACAATGACAACTACGGGAATAGCTCTTAAGAAGGGGAAACGAAAAGAAGTAACTAGCAATAAAAAGAGTGAGCCAACACTAACCGAACATGAATGAAGAGTAAGCATGGTTTAAAGGTAATAAATTGGAATTGTGATGGATTTTAAAAGCTAAATGCTGGGATGAAAATTCAGCAATGTTATAACCCCAAAGGTAGAAACAAGTCGGAGGAGAATAAAGGCATTTGTACCTTTCTATAAGGTAAAGTAATTGAGTAATGACAAGTCATGTTAATCATTCTAAAAGAGTTGCATATGAAGTTATAAATGATGATTAAATATTATCCTTCAAAAAAATAAAAAATTATGAATGAGTTGAGAGATGAAGGTTATGTGTTGCATCTAACTATACCTCAGGGCAGCAGTGTTGAATACCTAACTATTAGGATAGTCTTAACAGTTAATTAAGTTCCAAATGTATTTTCAGAGAACCTATCGAGTTTACCACATGAAGTGGAGATAGACTTGGGTATGGATATAGCACAAGAAGCCTAATTTATATATGTATTTTTTTGATATTATAGAAAAGCTCTATAGAGTTAAAGGAACTAAAAGAGCAAAATATAAGACTTTATAATTAAGAAGTCATCAGACCAAGTATATCACTTTGCTGCTCTTAAGTTATGTACTTCGAGAAGAATAGTGGATCTAAGCATATAATTATCGATAATAGATAGAAGACTTAAAGTGTCATGACATGCAAGTATATTTTATAAGTTAGATGATTTGTGCCCTCAGTTATAAGGTATTACCTTCTATTCTAAGCTAGACTTGTGATTGGTACATCATGACTAGAAGATAAAAAGTGTATATATTTTAGAAACATATACATAGACCTGTTTTGGTTAGTAATTATCATGGACTAGATGAACTAAATATTGAAACTGTTTCTTAACATTCTTGTTAATCATGTTCACTATTGACCTATGAGAATATTTTTATGGCTGATAGAAGCATGCATATTTGTGGAGGAGGTTTCTATAGGCATCGAGATAAATCCGATTAAATAGCAAGGTTAAAACTGTGAATTATAATTTTTGTATTATTGTATGTTGAGCCTTGTGATGTCTAGTAAAAAGGTTGGCAGGTTGATGGTGTGACGCCTACTAAGGCAATAGCTTGTGCCATATTGCAATTTTCTTTGTTTCAAACAAGCAAAATTCACCGGTACGAGAGTCTTAACCTTATTGGAGATAGTGATCAGCTCTTAGAGACGAGTTATACTTGATAGTGAATAAAGAGAGAATATTATGGCTAAAGAATGCAATATGTGTACACTCGTGGTGGTTGACGTAGGGAGACTCATACTCGATGAGATATATCACTTGAAACATTAATTACCTTCAAGGTCTAGTTATATGCATTGGGATTTGAGAAAGAGAGCTAATGACAGTAGAGGGTGATATATGATATCATAGATATTTTTCTTTAGTGTATGAACTGTTAATATACTAAATGTGAGTGTTAGAGACTCGGTAAATTATCGCAAACATATTTCTCTGGAAGAAAGCGAAAATAGATCGTCGTAGACTCAGTAGTTGGTCTACATGGTGATTATAGTTTAGGTGATCACGATTGGCTCAACGATATCGCATGCTTAACTCATTCTGGATTGATTATATAACATAATAGCCTATGTAGCGATATGCTTGAAATATAGTGCAATATTATGAGACGCCCATATTGTATATGTGACAAGGGTAATGTGGCATGTAATATCTACATAAGGATGTCTGGATGTGTTCCATAACTACCGTACGCAAGAATATTATGTACGAGTGTTATGTGTTTTAACATTGCCGTATATAAAATTTGTGGATGTTTTCCACTGTAGGACTATGATTATGACGCTTGGATATACTCTACCATAAAGGAGTTATGAGATTATGAATGAGATTGGGTTAGTGGCATATAGACTTGCCTTGCCCTCAGGACTTTCAGTTATACATCTTGTGTTTTATGTGTTTGTGACGAAAGTCATATAAAATTTAGTCTAAGGAAGGGAACTAGATGAAAATTTTGAATAACGAACAACGTCCCATAGTTATTGTTGATAAGCGAATGTGATAATTGAGCTCGAAGAAGGTTGCTTAAGTGAATATGTTATGTCGCAACAAACACATAAAGGAAGCTATGTGGGAGTCTGAGGTATACATGCGCATAAAGTACCTACAATTATCTGAGATGTCAGATACATTTTCTAACTCGTTCGATGACGAACATTTTATTTAAGTGGGAGAGAATGTAATAACCCGAAAAAAAAATATATTATTACATATTCATTAGTTGTGAAATTAGAGAATTATTTAGTTTGTAGTTATTGGATTAAATAATAAGTTAGTGGAAGAGAATTTACCTTGATTTATAAGATAGTATACTAGTTTTTTTCTAGTGAGCCAATTTACATTACGTATGATAGTTAAATAATCATGGACCTTAGATAATAAAAGTAACTAACTGGGTCAACCCATCTCAATTGCTGCCAACGATCTAGAGGGCATTAGGGCATTAAAATATTCTTGTTTTGGCTATTATGTAGAGGCAACAAAATATATAGGGCTAACGGCATTAGGGATTTTCCTAATTATTTGGTGGCGAGAACTTGAAAGCTAGGGAGAGCGAAATATTCTTGCAACTCAATAGTAATGGCAAGGTATCAATTCTAATCCCTATAGCTATATTTCTTGTATTAATTTAAGAGAGATATTCTTATTAGTTCTTTGTATAATGGTGACAAGAATTAAGTGTGAGAGTAAAGGGATTATGTCAGACATGATTATACTGGTCACACCTCGAGAATAAAAATAAATTATAACAATAAACTTGCTCTTTAATAATAGACAAAACTTTTCGAGAGTTACATTTTTAAAGTTAATTTTTTTTTGGAACCTTGCATAGGAAATACGTTTCAGATATTTGCTACAATGTTTGATTAGTTATACTTATGTAAATAAGATTTGAACTTCACATTTCAAAATATGTCCACGTATATTTGCAAAAAGAACACTCTGTCATATTATGTTTAGAGATAATTTTATGTTGAACTAGTGTTTGAATGTGTATAACTGAAGGATTAGTCAACTGGTTAGCAGGTCATATATTGAGTACCAAATTGTACTTTAATATCATGATTTTTTTTTTTATATATTCATGAGTTGAGGTGTAGAATATTAAGATGTAATTCTAAGCCTGACATTAAGGAAAGAATAGAATTGGACCTCACTAGTATAATTGAAATTATTCATTTATATTTTACATAGATTGAAGTCATTGAGGCCCGTTTGATTGGGATTCTAGATGTTGCAAGGTTTGCGGAACTTTCTGTTAGCAAGGTAAGTGATACTTTAAGCTTTGATTCTTGCTTTTCTAAAACCCGTTTTAAAAATATGTTTTCTTTGCCCGGTCTATGTGTTGGGACAAGCGTGCGCTTGATAGAATCGATGGTCTTAGACTAGCTGCAAATATATTATTTTATGAAAAAAACAAATATTATTTTATAAGTTGTTTGATAGTGTGATACGACTGTGCGCCATAGGTTGAGTTTTATAGTTTGATATGGCTGTGCGCCATGATATTGAGTTTGATACGGCTGTGCGCCATGATATTGAGTTTGATACAGCTGTGCGCCATGGTATTGAGTTTGATACGGCTGTGCGCCATGATATTGAGTTTGATACGACTGTGTGCCATGATGTTGAGTTTGATACGGCTGTGCGCCATGATATTGAGTTTGATACGACTGTGTGCCATGATGTTGAGTTTGATACGGTTGTGCGTCATGATATTGAGTTTGATACGGCTGTGCGCCATGATGTTGCGTTTGATACGGCTGTGCGCTATGATGTCGAGTTTGATATGACTGTGTACCATGATGTTGGGGCATTGTGCATGCCTTTGTACATCACCCGAGCATTGTGTATGCTCTGTTACATATTTGAGACATTGTGGTGTCATTGTGGACTCGTAGTGTGTTGGTATATTTCTTTCACTGCAATTATGATAAGTCCTTAGTGGGTATCCTTGTTGGTTAATTTTTAATAACTCTTATGATACACATATATTGAGTTATTGTATAATTATCGTAGTTACTATATCATTCATGTTGTGGTATGTTTGTATTTTCCAACATTTGTTCCAGAGGTATTTAAAGTTGCGGGTCGAGGATCTTACTGAGTTATATTTACATATATCTCACTCCTTATCTACATGTCTATGCAGATACCATTGGTGAAGACGGAGCTAATAGCTGACGAGTTCGCTGGAGTTGATTCAGTTATTGAGGTAAACCGCCGCATTGTTCGTAGAGGTTGCCAAAAGAGTCTTTATCATTTATCCATATGATGTCTTTTGTAATTCTCTTAGATGCTCCATGGTCTAGTGTAGAATTTTTGCTAAAGTTTTAATTTAATAATTTGAGATACCAATTGTTGATAATTAATTATCAAATTATTTGGATACTCATAATTAACTAAATATTACAAATTAATGGTTAAGGTATGAAAGTATGGTTCGCCTAGCGGGTGGTGTTAGCCAGGTGCTAGTCACGTTTAGGGAGTAATTTGGGATGTGATAATTCCGAAGGTTGGAACAAGTTTGAATGATATTATGAGATGTGTTGACATGTTTATTTGAGGTCCTGAGGGCCTCAGGTGAGTTTCGGGTGGTTAACGGATAAAAATTCTTGTTTTTAGAAGTTGCACATTTCTTCAGTTCTGTGTTGCAGAGATTTGTCCTTCGCATTCGCGAGGGGGTTCTCGCGTTCGCGAAGGGATGTGAAGTGAGGCAGGAGAATTTCCCTTTGCGTTCGCAATGTTGGTCCCACGTTCGCGAAGGGTGAGGCAGAGTGTGCATCGCGAACGCGAAGTACGTCCCGCGTTCGCGTAGAGTAACTGGAACAGCTGGGTCCCCAGGATTTTGTGCTTCGCGTTCGCGTGGGTATAGTCACGTTCGCGAAGGCTCGGACGGTTGAAGAATCGCTTTCGAGAAGGAGGAATAATTAGTCAATGGATTTTTGTATTTCACGAATGCGAGGCTTTGACCGCATTCGCAAAGAAGGAAATCACACCTGGGCAGAATGTTTAAATAGTGGCCTTCGTGATTTTTGGTCTATTTCCACCATTGTTGAGCGGTTTTGAAGCTTTTTGAGAGGGATTGAAGAGAGAATCGAAGGGAAATACTTGGAAGTAAGATTTTTGAACTCAATACTCGATTCTATGATAATTTCTACTTAATTAGACATGAAATTTATGGGATTTAAAGCCTAAAATTGGGGAATTAAGGCTTGAAATTGGAGACTTTGATTTAGGGATTTGAGGGCTGTTTGTGGTCGGATTTTGATGTATTTGATATGTATGAACTCATGGGAGTGTAAGGATTCTAGTTTTTTAATTTTTATGGGAATCCGAGACGTGGGCCCGGGGGTCGGGTTTGTCCAATTTCGGGATGTAATTTGATTATTTTCGCTTGGGCTTTGTTCCTTTAGCGCGTATTAACGATAAGATACTAATTTTGGTTAGATTTGGAGCAATTGGAGGCCGATTCGAGGGGCAAAGGCATCGCGGGCTAGAGTTTGAACTGGATTGAGGTAAGTAATGATTGTAAATGTTGTCCTGAGGGTATAAAACCCTGAATTTTACATCGTTGTGCTACTTTGAGTTGATGCACACGCTAGATGACGAGCGTGGGGTCGTGCACCGTTGGGGATTGTGACTTAGTCCGTCCCATATGACTGCTAAGTCGCGTATTTGATTGAAAACTGTTTGATATCATTGTGCTTTGGAAAATTATTACCATGTTTTGGGCTGAATTCCATATTTGGGCCTCGTGCCAACTGTTTTGGACCCTTAGGGGCATTTTACTACTATTCCTCGCTGTTTTGACTTCATACTTATACTCAGTCATGCTGTATTCTACTATTTTCATAACTCAGCCGTATTTACTCCGTTTTTATATTTTAAATGATATTTTGGGCTGAGCATCATGTTTACTGTTACCCGAGTGGCTTGAGAGGTTTCTGATTGAGTGAGGCCGAGGGCCTGTGTTGTGAGGATTATTATGGGATCAGACTGCGCGCCGCAGCATGTGTACTGATTTGTGATATATGAGAGGCCGAAGGCCTGATTTGATATGCCACGAGATGACTTATGATAGCGCTTGGGCTGTATGAGCCCTTTCGGAGTCTGAACACCCCCAGGTAGCGCAGGTACCCAGTGTGAGATGTGATATTGCCCTAGCGCTTGAGCTGTAGGAGCCCCCCCGGAGTCTGAACACCCCCAATGAGCACGGGTACCCAGTGGGAGATGTGATATTGCCCAAGGGGCTATTGCTGTTTCATGTTATTGCCCGAGGGGCTGATTACGAGTGATTGTGAGGTAGCCCGCGGGGCTGGTTCTGTTGATATTTTGCCCGAGGGGCGGTTGTGGTACATGTTTTGCCCGAGGGGCGGTTGTGGTACATGTTTTGCCCGAGGGGCTGTTTACATTTCTATCCTTTACTCACTGTTTTTATCACTTGTTTGAAACTATTGAAAGATGTTTTAAAAAGGTTTTACTGAACTGAGCTATTTTTATGAGTTTTGTTGATTTACTGTATTGATCCTACACATATACTATTTTGTTGTGGTTCTATGACGTGAAATTACCTGTTTCTTACTGCTCAGTTGCCTTTACTTTTATTACTTACTGAGTTTGCGTACTCACATTACTCCTTGCACCTTGTGTGCAAATCCAGGAGTCTTGAGGCGCGATAATGAGTGCTGATCAGTCTTCCAGCAGGTCTCCGGAGTTGACTAGGTAGCTGCTTGGCATTCGCAACCCAGTGCTTCTCCTTCCTATCTTATTTAGATTGTCTTATTATTTTATTTTCGGACAATGTTGTCTTTTCTTGTTCCTAGACGAGTTGTAGTTGCTCATAATTGGTGACACCCCAATGTCGGGCTTGTCTTATATTTCCGCACTTATATTATGGGATTTTAGCTAATGAATGGCTTAAAATGACTTATTTTAAATTTCTGGTTGGTTTTGGGAATTGTGTCGGCTGGCCTAGTTTCTCGTTAGGCGCCATCATGACTGGGTCAGTTTTAGGGTCGTGACAAGTTGGTATCAGAGCCTAGGTTACATAGGTCTCACGAGTCATGAGCAGTTTAAGTAGAATCACGCTGATCGGTATGGAGACGTCTGTACTTATCCTCGGGAGGCTGCAAAACCTTTAGGAAAAATTTCATATTCTTGAATTACGAATTTGTTGATTCTAGTACTAAACTTCTGTTGTTCTATACTCTCATAAATGATGAGGACACGTGCTACCAGTTAGGGAGGACGACCACCAGTACCACCAGTTGGGGCCACTAAAGGCCAAGGACACGGTCGAGGCCGTGGTAGGGGCAGGGGTGTAGCCCGCACAACAGCTAGGGCAACACCTGCAGATCCACCAGCCGCCCCAGTTCATGATTAGGTCCCAGTTGTGGACGCTCCAGCAGCACCAACTGTGCCTATTGTGATCCCAGGCCTTTAGGAGGCCCTAGTCCAGATCGTATCAGTGTTTACTAGCCTAGCTCAGGCGGTCTCAGTTACTACTGTTGTGAGCACGTGATTTTTGCCCTATATATGAGTAATTCCCAAAAATTCAAACAAAATAATTTTTTTCTTTATTTTTACAATTTTTTGTGAATTTTGGTATCATTTTGGGTTAATTGTTTGCATTTTATTTGTGCATTTTTATTCACATGAAAATACAAAAAATATGCATTTGCATTTAGGGTTTAATTTCATGTTTTAGGATTAATTAGTGATTAAGTTGTTTTAGAATAAAATACAAAGAAAATAACGAGAATGGTCCTTTTTGCTTTTTTAGTTTAAATTTGTCTTAGTTTGCATTTAAATCAGGAATTAGTGTATGGAAAATTAGGAAATCTAAATTTTAGTGTTAATTTGGTTTTAATTTTTAATTTAGCATTTTAATAAAATCAGAAAATTGAATAAATAACCAAAAAGAGAAAAGAAAATAAAAGAAAGGAAAGGCTGCCTATTGATTCGGATTTGGGCTGAGAATTATTTAATGTGTATCAGCCCAAACCATTCACCCTCGCCAGGCCCACACCCTAATTCGCCCCACCCG